TTAAATACGTTTATCATTTAGCTAGCCTTTAAATACGTTTAGCTTCTAGCTAGCCTTTTAATGCTTTTAACTTCTAGCTAGCCTTTAAATACTTTTAGCTTCTAGCTAGACTTTTTAATACATTTAACCTTTAGCTAGCCTTTAAATACGTTTAGCTTCTACCTAGTCTTTAAATACGTTTATCATTTAGCTAGCCTTTAAATACGTTTAGCTTCTAGCTAGCCTTTTGATACTTTTAGGTAAACATTTTGCTTCAATTAAATTTTACTTTTTATTAAATTGCGTTCAGCATTCATACTGCAGCAGAAGATACTATTGCTATAGTTGYTTTGTTTCCCTTTGTTGCAAATACAGAAATCACATTTGGCTTTWTCTCATGAATGCAGCTCATCAGATGAACCTCTGAAGTGGCAGTTTGTGGACCAGTTTGTGTCTGAATCAGGGGTAAGATCGAAACATCTTTTCTCATGGCTTTTTGTTTTGTTTTGCTTATTCGCTTTCTTTCAGCCTTTTTCTTTTCCTCTTTAGGAGAAGAGAAGAAGTGTGGCTGGCTTGGCATCCATTGGTGGGAAGGAGATCAAGGAGAAGAAGGTTTTCCTCAGTCTTGTGGGCACCAAGGGGATGGGCATCAGCATATCGAGTGGTCCAACCCAGAAACCTGGAATATACATCAGCAACGTGAAGCCAGGCTCCCTCTCTGCAGAAGTGGGACTTGAGGTGATTTCCTCCTAAAAGCCACAAAATATCACTGTTTACACACAGAAACCTGCATTCAGTGAACTTCACTTGAAGTTTGTATCTGCTRTAGATGGGAGACCAGATTGTGGAGGTGAACGGAGTGGACTTCACCACCGTGGACCACAAAGAGGTGAGGTTGTCTTTAATGATGCTTATTGAAACACTGTTTCCTTGCGGGGTTTGTTTGTATTATATTACCAGCAGCAAATAAATAATCAGTCTAAAATAAAATAAAAAAATTGCTGAAGTGCCTTTAAATCAGCGTTTTTGTCAGCTTCTTGAAAAACAAAATGTTTTTACAGTCTTACATGTATGTGATTATGTTTGGTTTTTTTATTGCAGGCCATCAAACAGACTTAAAAAACATTAAAATACAAATAAAACTTATTTAGTATGTTTTCATTATGTTTTCAGGCTGTGAAAGTCCTGAAGAGCAGCAGAAGTTTGACCATCACAGTTCTGACAGGAGCTGTAAGTATCTGTGTTGTGTCCAATCATTATTTATTATTCTGTAAATGTTTTCAGAAATACATGTGAAGTGTTATCGAACAAGCCTCCCATTGAAATTATAATCCATAATRAAATAAACACTTTAAATGTAAGATGGAGTCTAATTAGTCTAATCTTTACCTTAAGTTATGATGTTAAGCCAGAAGAAAAAGCTGCTAAACAGATAAAGTTATTTAACTGAATACATTTAGTTATTATTGGAAAATGAGATGTGAACAAAAACAAAGTAAAACATTTATTTTAGAACGTTAATCCATCACTCATGCAGGAACACAAATACCTGCCTCGTCTCCTTTGCGCAGAATAATTCACCTCATCGTTTTAAATTCATGGCTTTGCTGAGCCGGTGTCTCAGAAAAAYGTCTGCAGGAGGAACATTTATCCTCCGTCAAGCCTCTGAGCGTGAGAAGAGAAGCTCTGTCTCATTCGTGTCCTTCTTGGTGCCGTGTGATGCATTTGTCTGAGAGTTTGTCTTTGTTTGGACGTCGGTGAAAGTCAGCAGCGTTTTAAGGTCCAGTGGATGGGATGTTTTAAAATCCTTTTTATCTGGAAATATGGTTATTTGTGCAGAGAGGGAACCCTGCAAAAACAAAWAACTGTTCATATATACATATATTGTTGTTGTACGTTGATTTTAAATTATTTGCAGTACTCTGCAGCCTATTCACCTGTTTTCAGCACAATAATGGTAGCTAAGTAGCAATGCAGTCAAGGAAAACACTCCCTAAAGTTCAAACTCTGAAGCTGACAATGTCCCAAGTTAAACAGAAAAGTCATTAATCAATAAATAATTAGTGCAGGACTGATGGAATGAGTGGGCAGAAGGAAACATGCCATCAGTAGCAGCTGAAGTCAGGTTATTTTCTTTAGGAAAACAGGGGTCTTTGCATTGTGTCGAGGGGCTTTGTAGCCTGAAGGTTTCCAAGGAGGCAGCAGTGCTCATCTCGCTAATCAGCTCCATCAGCTGTAGCCAAAGCAAGTGTTAGCAGACCTGCGGCGACACAATCAGAAGATCAATGCAGCAAACTGAAGTTTATTATTAAAAGGGAAAGAAAGCTTTTTTGCTAATATAGATATTTTAAAATTGGTTTTAAAAGCGTTGAAATCCAAAACAAATGCAAAACACTGTGAAGTACATTTCAATTATGTTCTAATTGCCTGTTGTTCATTTGCTGTGCATCAAYATTCTCACATCCTGAGGCTTCAGACGTCACTCATGACCAAACCTGACATCTTCTCTCGCCTTGTTAGGAAAGCCTGGTTTGGACTGGCCTCCCTGCCTCTTGAGCTAAAAAGCTTGAACCATTGCTCTCTCTAATCCCGTTCTCTGATCTTCGTCTGTCTCGACTCTCCCAGGGAAGCGAGCTGTTTATGACAGATGAGGAGCGTCTGGCAGCTGAGGCCCGCCGGGAGCTGGAGAGGCAGGAGCTGATGCATCAGAAGAGGGTAGCGCTGGAGACCAACAAAATCATTAAAGAGCAGCAGGAGAGGGAGAGACAGTGAGTGAGCTACAGGACTCCTAATTAGCTTTGCCCCTTCACAAGAGAAATCTTCTGTGGCGCGACATGAAGTCCAAGGTTGTTGTGTTCGAAAGTTTGTGTGTCTTTTTTCACCCGACTGTTCGCTCTGACTTTAAAAGATGTTCTCACACAACCTGCATTAATGCCAGTTGACTGGGCCTGTCACAATAACACAATTTACTGGACGATAAATTGTCTCAGAAGTTATTGCAATAAACAATAATATTGTTTGAAGACTGTTATATTGATACCACACACACCCGCTTAAGAAACTTACTGAAGTTTATGAAATTTACATGCGTTAAAAAAATTCGGAAATATAAAAAATCACTACCACCTCTATCCAAGCCGACACAATTTATTCTATATCAGAATCAGGATCTTTATTGATACTTTATAGATTCCCAGGCAGAGCTGTAAAGTATCTAAGTACAAACACTTTATTACTGTGCTTGAGTAGAATTTTTGGGTATTTGTACTTTACTTGAGTAATTTATTTTCAGCCTACTTTTTACTTCTACTTCTTACATTTTCACACAGTTATCTGTACTTTCTACTCCTTACATTTTTTAAAAAAGGCAAGAAGTAGAAAGTCGTTACTTTTATTTCATTTTTGCTTGTTTTCATTGCAGCTTGTTATTGTAAAAAAAATAATACTATCCGTATAAACTGTGCCTCCTAGATAGAGTGAATTTAATTGTGGTTGAATGAGAAGTATAAATAAATAAAATTCTGATAGCGTATTAGTTTGTACACAAACAAATCATGTCACACTCCAGCAGGACATAATCATTAAAATAAAAGGACTGTACTTAAGAAGTATTTGTATTTCATGAATTATATTATTGCATTTGGCCGCAGCCCTCAGATAGATTTTTATTTTGGRGAAAAGYTTTGGGCAGCCTTGATATATGTAGATCCCAATAATAAATGCCTCCTAATAAATGTCATTACAGAAAATCAATACTTTTACTTTTAATACTTAAGCACAAAAAATATCAGATACTTTAAGACTTTTACTCAAGTGATATTCCTAAAGAAGACTTTAACTTTTACCAAAGTAATTTTTTGGTAAGATACTTGTACTTTTACGCAAGTATCACTTTTTGGTACTTTACTGTTCCCAGGGGGAAATTGCAATTATTACAGTCGCAACCATTTAAGTAAGCATTAGAGATAAAATATAAAGGAAAAAATATTAGAGCACACTAGAAAAAAATAAGTATATATGTGTCTTCCCCTGGCTTCATAAAATGACAGTCAGACTTCAAGCTACTTAGGAAATTTCCGGAAGTTTACAAAATTTACCTTTAGTTACAGACGGACCTGGAGTGGAGTTTGTAAAAAAATATATATATTAAAAAAACAGATTGGCAAACCCATGATTTGGCACGGTGTCCTAAGGAGTTGCCAGCTGAAAGCAGGTGTAAAACCAAAGATGCTCCCCGAGCTAAATGCCTGTAAACGGGGCTCTCATGCTACAGACGTAGCATGCTCCATACTTCCTTATGTGAGAATTCACGCCTCTCTGCACTTAGGAGTAGAAACGAGGGAAATGTAAAGAAAACAAGCAGGTATATGAAAATTATCGACCTAATTTAAATTTATCGTGTGATTAATTTATTCATTACTTATCACGACAGGACTAGTGTTGACTGAAATTAAGTTGAATCAGTTTAAATTATTTTAACAATAACAGACACCTTTTTTTTTTTATAAAACTGGAGAACGAACAACAAAGACAAAAGTGTTAAAAGTTTTGTTTAAGTCATAACCATGTTGAAAAGAGGGAAGTTTTCAGTTCTGATTGGAAAACCCTCGAATGATCTCACCACCCTGGCCTCTACAGGAAGATAAATTACATGACTTCACGTCCCTTCCTGCAGAGCTGACAGTCTCACGTGTTTAATAGCAGCTATAAAATTAATCAAAGCCATACATTCTGCAGACGCTGCCTTGTCGTGCTCAAAAAGATTTACGCTGAGGCCTGCGTGTTTATGGTGCGTTTTACAGGAGAAAGATGGAGATCTCCCAGAAAGTTGCAGAAGAGGAGGATCGCTACCAGAAAGAGATGGAAAAGTACACAACGGTTTCATGTTTTAAATTTCACTGACTATAAATGACCAGCTCTGTATTGATTTTTAACATGTTTCTTTGCAGGATTGAGGCTGTGGAGAAGAAACACAACAGAGAGTGGGAGGAGGACTGGGGATCCAAAGACAGACCAAAGAGCCCCCGCTCTCCAAAGAGTCCTGCTCCTGCCCCACCTGAGAGGAAGACCTCCCCGAGTCCTAAAGCAAAGAGCTCACGTATGCACGCACGCACACAGTGAATCTTTTTTTTCACTTTAAATGCATGAATTCTGTTTGTTTCTAAACCCACAAAGTCATGAAAGTTTCACCTCGTCTGATCTTTTATCTGCATGCTCTGTGTTTGTCTTTCTGTTTCTGCTGGTTGCTGTGCTGCCTTTTTATTTTATTTTTATTTTTTTACGACTTCACCTCTAAGCTGACAAAGCCAGCTTCTTCCCAGAAGAAGAAGAGGATGAAGATGAGCAGCACGAACACGTGAGTTTGGAGTTTCAGCTGTCAGCACCAGGATGTTCGTTCAATTCAACACCCTCCAAAGACAAGTGGTAGATTTCCTTTGACAACAATAACGAGGCCGCGGGAGCTGACGTTTAACATCCTGTTGATGGATAAAAGTCTGTGGCAGATGAGAGATTCCTGTTTCACGAGTTTTTGCATCATTTAAAATAGTTTACACCTTCAGTTCTGAGTGTCGGTGTTTCTCAAAGTGCTGTTTTGTTGCTGTGGTGCATGTTAGGGTTGCATTGAGTTTGCTGTGGTTGCATTCAAACCATGATTTTGATTTTCTTATTTAAAATATATCTGTGTTCATCTCCATCTGTAGCATTTGGCTGGTTTTATCGATATGAGGGGAAACTGCCATCATTACGGAAGGTATTTACAGCGGTTTGTGTGCTGTGAGGTGCTCTCAAAAGTTAATCTTTTTGGAGGGAAAAATACAAGGTGGTGTTTGCATAATGTACAGTTTTTCTTTAATTCTTACGTTGCTGTTCCTGGATTTTGCATGTGTTGTTTTGAGCCGGTTTGATTGGCAGTTTGTTCGTCTTTTTTTTACGTTCACTGATTGATGGCACCTCAGAAAGGAGAGAAGAAGAAGAAAAAAAAGAAAGTGTCCAACACAGACACGCTGCAGGAGCAGAGGAAAAACAAAAAGGAGATGGAGTTTGAGCTGAAACTCGCCAAAGAGAAAGAAGAGATGTACGAGCGGGAGAAGCAACTTAAAATCAATCGTCTGGTTCAGGAGGTACGAAACGTGGAAATGTTCATCAGTTTCAAAGAGAATCTAAGTTAAAATGTGTTGTAGGTAGTATTTCATTATTTTTTTTAAGTATCATATCACTCTGCTGTGATATGATTGTGTTTTTTTGCTGCCTTGCTTCACCTCCACATCAGGTTTCAGAGACGGAGAGGGAGGACCTAGAGGAGTCTGAGAAGGTGCAACACTGGGTGGAGCGTCTGTGTCAGACTCGGTTGGAGCAGATCTCGTGTGTAGAGACTGAAACTCCAGAGGTACAAAGTCAGACCTCTTTTAGAGGAACCTCTCCACAATCCAAACTCGGCTTGTTGTTACATCTAACATCACAGCTGTACTTGAAAATTAAAACTAGTAAACACTTGAGAATTTGGATACTTCCACTACTACTGCTGGGGTTTCAATACATCATTGGATGATATAGTTTTATGCTCTACATGCTAATAGTATATTATTATTATTATTAT